TAATTCCAACAATACCCAAAGTATTTGCTGAGTTTAAAACTCACAAAGAAAATAACATTTTATCAGATTTTACCCATTTTGAACACACACCACTAATTAAAATAATACCCACAATGGACTACACTCTCTATCAGATTTCTCATTAATGGGCACACCACTCTCTCTCTCTCCCCCCGGGCCTGCACCTCACTTTTCAATTCTCTGTTTCTCTCCTCACCTTTTTTTTCCTTCTCTTTGCTTCACACAGAGATATATATTTGTGCGGCTCATGTGTGTGCCTCCCTTTCTCTATCTCTCTGCTCTCCTTCACACACGCAATATATATATCAACACACACATATATATAATTAACAAAGTCGGTGGCTGATCCCTCTAGTATGTTGGTGGTTTTTGGTTCAGCCAAATTCTGAATTTTTCCTTCAATTGGCGGTGGACAACAACGTTCCAGTTTCTTCTACTTACGTCGGCAGCTATGGAATCTTCTAGGCGCAACAACGTTAATTGCAGACTCCATTGTTACTTCTTAGTATCAATTTCTCACCATTTCAGGCACCTCCCTTCTTCATTTCTTCCTGGCGGACGGCGCTCGGCGACTAACTTCCTGAAGCTCTTGGCGGATCCAGCAGGCGGCCGCGGGGGCTGACCAGGTGCTGGATCCGCCCCTGGCTCCAGTACCTACTATAACCACGTGGGCCTTTTCCTCCATTTCAACAACTTCCACATTTTCTTCAACAACATGAGCAGCCATGCCAGTTGGTGGCAATGGTAGGCCAGATTCAGATACCTTGGCAGCTATTTGTTAAGTGAATGGTGGAATTAAATGACTCATTTAAATTCCAATTATCATTTAATACTAAGGGCTCGTTTGAGCCCCTTTTTAGCAAAATACATTTTAAAATAGTAGATTAATGGAGAATGTGTGGTTAAAAATGAGGAAAATATTTTTTGATTTATGTATAATATTATTTTATTGAAAATGTGTGGTTGGAAAAAGATAGGAAAAATATATTTTGAAAAAAAATGAGTGGGGTTATAACCCAAGTGGAGACTTTCCTCTTAT